CTCTCTCTCTCACTCTCGCTTGCTCTCTCTCTCTCTCTCTCTCTCTCTCTCTCTCTCTCTCTCTCTCTCTCTCTCTCTCTCTCGTGCGTGCGCGCGCGTATGCACGTTGTGCGCCTATGCGCGCAAGGCCTCAATCTTGCGCACCTATGCACGCTGCGTGCCTATGCGCGCATTTTTTTTTTTTTTTTTTCAATCAATCAATCGACCGATCGATCGATTAGGTCAGGTTATATCTCTATGCCATAAAAGAATCATCTTAAGAATGGGCAAACCTTATTTAGCAACTCGTGGAGCTATTGTATATCCTAGAAATGGAGAAACGATTAGCGAAGGAGATACCCTTATGACTCTTATCTATRAAAGACTAAAGGCAGGCGATATTATACAAGGATTGCCAAAAATTGAACAGCTTTTAGAAGCACGGCGCGAAAATGTAGTAGAGCTAATTATCAATAGACATTTTTTAGACTGTACAAATTTATTAACAGAAGAATTGAGAATGCTTTTAGGTTCTCTATGGGGGTTTCAATTTAGTGCTTGGCCGTCCTTCCAATCGATCGATCGATCGATCGATCCATCCATCCATCCATCCATTCATCCATTTTGTTTTTGTTTTTCCCCAGTTTTGATTATTTTTATTTTTTTAAAATATAAAAAAGGCCAAAAACAAATAAAAAAATATGGGGGTGTAGAGCAGGAAAAACTCTACATCCCCATATTTTTTTATTTGTTTTTTCGTTTTTTTTTGGGGGGAAGTTCGTCACTTTGTACAGAAACGTACATACGGCCGTACGACAGAAGCCCCGTACGACGTACGGGGTGTTACACAGATACAAACAACTTTTACCTTGGAGGTATGCTCAAATTCGTAACCAAACTCGAGTTAAAAATAAAAAACGAAAAACAATTTTTTTTTTTTTTTTTTTTGAATATCTTCGGCCGAACACGTTCGGGAGGCCGAACGCCCGAACATGTTCGGACGTTTGGAAAAGCTCCGATCATGTTCGGTGTACTACACAGGTCATCTCGTTGCACGCACACTGTCGCATAG